CATTTCAAGAAACTGTCAAAATTTTTCGAAATGCCATATGTTGTCCCACGATTACCCAATTTTCAGGATAAATTTTAAAAGAAAATTCTCCCCGTGTGTCTTGCGCGACCGGGGGGTAAACCGCCGAGGGCATCACGGTGTACGGATTCGCGGCATTACTGGGCCTTACTAGGCATCATTTGGGCATTAGTTTGGCATTGCTGGGGCATTGTAAAGATAAACCAAGACAAATAAGATAATAAGATATAGTAATGCCCACTGGGTATTAGTAGGCATTGGTGTACGTGATTTTGGTTAGCGGTTTACCCCTCGACCTTCGGAGGAAGGGCCCGAGCAGAACGGCCGTCTTGTACTCGTAAAACAATGTTTCACGTTTCAAAGTAACGCACAATAACCGTCTTGTGTCTCGAGAGTACAAGACAGCCATTCTGCTCAGCCCCGAAGAGATAGAAAGCGCAACGGCGCGCGGCCCGAAGGGCTCCGGAGCGCGTGGAACGCGACTGCGGCGTCAATTAAAGGTTTAACAGTCCGGTCGATGACGTTCGTTAGCGTAATCCGCGCGTCAATTGCGCCGCGGTGGGACACGCGCGTAGGACTCGGCGCGAGTGCAACGGCCGCGGGTGTCGATTCGGAGCTTCCGATGGAGCTTTCCCCGTGCGCGCTACGGGACAGACGTCCGCGCCGCCGGAAGCGGGCGCCTGCCGCGCCGACGACGACACGCCGCTACGCGTAATCCATTAATATCGCGCGCGGAAAGGGACGCGCGGTAATTAATGCGTGACGTTTAATTCGCGACGCTCGCGCCTGAACCGGCGACACCATTGTCTCGGCGAGATGAGGAGAGACGCGAGTGTCCCTGCTCTCGCAGAATCGGCGCCGTGACGGCGCGCGCGCCCCGTGCAAGGGCGACCGATACCCGCGGCTGTCCATGGGAGGGGAAAAATAAATTTGCTCTATTGTTTGCAAAAGTTTATTGCAAAATATTCGCTCTATTGGAGTAAATATTCCCTCTGGCAGTATTTTCACCGCACAAATTTTAACAGAATTAATTAAAACTGACCGAAACCGACAGGCGGTGGTCTGCGAGAAATGCGGGAGTTCCGCGCGGTCCTCCCAAAATCTTAAAGATCATAATTTTATTCGGCACATTGCGAGAAATATTGAACAGGCAAGCTAGATTTATTGGCGGGCCAATTGTATAAAATTTTAGGTAATACCGCAGCAGCTGCTTAGAACTTTCTCTTTGCCTTCTTCCTGCCTCCTCTATCGACTACTCTCTGAAGTTTTTGAAGCGGAAATACCGCCATGAAGCAAAATATTCGCTCTATTGGAGTAAATATTCCCTCTGGCAGTATTTTCACCGCGCAAACTTTAGAGAGTAGGAAACGCCACGTGGAGATGAGGCAAGGTCGAATTCCTTTTTTTTTTTTGAGATTTTTAATTCTTTCCGCGAGTCAAGCTTGGACGTCACGAGCCGGATTGGAGATCCTCGCGAGTTGCCGGCTGCGTATCTCCGATAGAGAACACGGAATAAGAAAGATAAAAAATTGCACTCGTATAAGACACATTTTCCCTAATTGTATTGAATAAGAAACGCTCCATCATTTACAATCTCCGACAGTTGATATCCGGCAGACTTTACGTCGCTTATTATATCCTCACGAATCGGGATCCAGATTATCCCGGATCGTATCGCGAAATAATTGACAGTGCCGTGATTTCCCGAAACCCGCGCGGCGATCGGCTTCCGCGTCCGGGACGCGCGACGAAGTCGCGAAAGGACGAGGCCGGCTGGTTTAACGATTTTCCGGGGACATCTCCGCGGAAGCAGACGGCTGTAACTGATGCATCTTTAATGCTGTCCTGTCGACCTGGCTCGCCGGAGAATAGAAGCGACGGTCGGCGGTCCGCTGCGATTCTCAGCCGGCGTCGGTGGTTCGCGCGTGACGCGCCCATCGCGCGCGCGAATCGCTCTCCTCATCGGAGCCGCGGCGCGTCGCCGTCGCGACCGATAATCAAGAGTGACGGGCCTGCTCTCGTCCTTCCAACCGGTTAGACAATTATTTGAGCATCGTAATGGACGGAGAGGAGCGCACGGAGATGATGTGACAAGCGCCGCGGCGCCCCGTAGCCGTCCCTTTTAATTAAATGAATCTCGACGGTATCGTTAAAATGAGAGAGCGTCTTAGAGCCCGCGGGATAGAGCGATCTTGTGTTGTAATATCCGTTTGCTGTGTACACGTCGGGCCCGAGCGTCATTGTCGAGATGCGCCCCCCCCCCCTCCTCCGGTTCGGGAAAAAGTCTCCGCGTCGATCTCATCTCCATAATGGATTATTAAATACTCTCCTTCTACGGATACGCCGTGAGCTATCGATAAGGATTTGGCGAGCGCGCCTTTCTACTTTTAACTGTTTCGTGCCTCATCTTCTGCCCTGTGCCTCCGTCTGACGCATCAATTATTCACGAGATGAATTATTCATGGAAAGAGAGTACTTAATCTTCATAATACACATTCCGCTTAATATGCGATACGGCCGGCGATTTTATTATTTGCGATTTGCGTCAAGTGGTCGCGGGACTCCGCGCCGCGCGCCACGAGAAGCCTCCGGCTGACGGATCCAGGCTCGTTTCAGACGAAGCGCCGTGGCACTCGCGATTTCGGATTAACCGAGGGGGGGAACCCGCCGAGGGCATTGTGGTGTACAGATTCGCGGCATTACTAGACATTTTTTTGGGCATTAGTTTGGTCATTAGGCTTTGCTGGGGCATTACAAAGACAAGAT